TGAAAATTCTAATAATTATGAAGATTTGTATTTGAAATTAAGTCACTCGTCACAATCAATTCATTTTATGAAACTTTTCAGTTCAATACCAAACCTTGCGCCTATTATTTATTCAAAAGAGGAGTGACGGTCCACACAGATAGCTAATTTATTCCAACGTGAGCAAAAAGTACAAAGTATTTATACAAAACCCAGAATACGCTAAATATATATACAATTAGTGTGACAAAAACAAATTCATAATTATACTACATCTCTCATTCCTGCACGACCTACTCCATACTCGAGGCGATAACATCTATTTCACACAAAAATTCTCGCTATATTTTAATACATAGAGAAAGGTGTACAGCATCATATAGCCAGAGACATAGCTAATGAAAAATCAACCTGATGTCCTAGTAAAGACACGCACGACTTACGATTTTATAATCCAACATAAAGTAAAACTCCGGCGTCCCATTGTGTGAGGGATTGTGGAACACCTCGATCTGTCTGTGAGCGTCCAGTTGAATCTCTTCTTCCAGGACACTAACGTTGTCCCTGAAATACACCACGTATTCCTGGAGACAGGAAAAAATATGTTTGAAATTGTCTTCAACGGCATAATAACAAAATAACAGCAGGAATGTTATTTTATATTATTATATTTGTTTGTTCGTTTATTTTTTATTTTGGTTCTGGTACATTTACGATGGCATTTTAAATTTTGTAATATTGCTTGGTTGAGCTAAAACCATGGGCATGACAGATGTTATGGGGCATAGGTTACTGAGTTTGTTGCAGGTTGTTACATAATGTGCAAGTATTTTGATAGAACGACAAGATTGTAAAAGAAATATACACATTCGACACAAAATACATTAAGGTTTCAATTTACTTACTTTAAATCTACGCCTAGGATAAACGAGTCCATAATACGTTGCTAGTGCTGTTCCAATAATTACCATGGCGACGAAGATGACGAAACACGCTGCTGACGTCACGTATTGTTTCCTGGTACATATGAGCACGCTGTTTCCCTGTACGTGTTAAGAAATATTTACAAAGTAGGGCCTAAGTGTCACCTAATAGGATAGTCGTGACCGCATCTAGAGATATCATATCTCAAATTACCTCGCTCACTTTGATTATACAAGAATTAAAGATTGAATTAAAGTGCTGGTATGTCGGTGAACCGACATGAAACCTAAAATATTATTTAGTTTAGGCGTGTATATATATTGTCTTTCTATTAAAAACTGTGTAATATTTAATGTGCTGAGACAGTTCGGCATAACCAAATATGTCTTGTGGTTTTAATATCGTATCACTTTTTGACAGAAGTGATTTTCTTCAACCACGTAATTTTCGTATTTTATCATACCCCATGTCGGGATGCCTACCTCGTTTGAATTCTTGCTATCCTGAGTTTTTCTTTTGTGTGCGTCATTTTTATTGTTTTCTTCGTTCTTCTTGCAGTTGTCTTCGACATTTTCTGATTTTCGTTTTTCAATTTTATAATCATTGTTGTTGGTCGTTTCGTTCATCTTGTCTTTAACCTTGCCCTTCATTGTGAAGCACTTTTGACGTACTGGTCTGTTTTTAAGGTTAAGAGGTAAACTGAGAATTTTCTCAAGTTGCTTGTAATCTCTTCATGTCTGACCACCTTTCTCCTGAAAATGTTAAATATAATATTAATGATTTTTCATTGAAAGTTTAAAAAAGGCTGAGAAGTTGTCACAAGCATGAAAGGCCTATAGCAACCTATGGGAGAAACTCTACCTTAACTCAAAATCAAATCTACGAGAAAATAGTAGCAACTGCAACTGTAGCGCCTGTTCTTTAAATTTGGGTTTGAAGCATATTTGACTTCAAACAAATTAAATATACTGACCGGCACCCAATCGCCCGTATTTCTAGAACAGTTTGAAAAATCCTGAATATCTTGTTGAGGTTTGCTTGATAAAAAGTAACCATTAGGCCTATATACCAGGGGTTATATATCGCTCATAACGTTTATGCCAGGTACAAATGTATATTAAGATGGCGATGATAAAAATCTCCTCTCTCTTTACACAGCCATTACTCCCTAAAGATATACAAATCTTGATCTGAGTGAGCTACATGTATTATTATCTCAGATGTTAGGGAAAGTGACACAATTTGCATAATTGCTATGACGTCATAGGGCTGTTCACTCAAGGAGTAATTAATAATCTCAATATTAATGAACCAGCAGGTTAGAATATAGTCCAAATAGTGCAAACCATCTCGGGATCAGCAACCACATTTTAAACCGGCTCAGATGCAATCTAAGGAAAATTTTGTGAACGAGCCTGGCGCCGGCAGCGACGATGAATCACAAGGAGGAAATACATCGGAATAAACATCACTTTGCTCTTGCAGATAAATTTTAAAACAGGTTTTATCTGGAATTGTCGCATAAAAATACAAAACCATGCTCCATAATTGGTTTATTATGACAAATGAAAGTTAAATTTAAAAAAGTCACACGTCTGTTTAATGGCTAAATTGTATTAAATAAATTTAGAGGCAAAAATATTGATATTCCTTATATCCTTTACTGTGTATAAATAATTTAACCAATCAAAATATTAATTTATATTAGATGTATTAAAATATATTCCCACCTCTTAAGAGGTAACGTGCAAAAATATGATAAAAATAACAATAAAATTACGTGTCCGGTTTTAAATATATATGTTTGTGGATAAAATGCGCAAAAATAGTAGGCATATTATTTAAGTTTTTATAACGAGAACTATAACGGCAATTTTCACATTTCATTAAAATCAATTGATTTACGTGCTTCAGAAATATTTTAGTTACTGCTAGCACTTGTGCAAAGGCGCAGCTATAATAAAAGATGAAACTGGATCAACATTTTAGATGCCACGTTTAAAATTATTTTATCGCTCTAGTTAAACACTATACATCAAAGACCAGGAGTATAGTAAGGAGAAAAATAAGTTAAGGCTGAAAACAGACGCATTTAAGAGAAAAATAGAAGTTATCAGTGTACTCACCTTCCCTCCCAGAAGCTAGTCCTAAGCGAAATGCATAAATGACGTTGGAAATCAGGACGCTTCGCGGTGCGCATAATTGTAGTAATTACCCAAACCACGATCCCGGGACGATGGGAATGTCTGATAGCTATCCTGGCTCCTGTTTATATGTGTGGTTGGACAACCCGCAGAATGTATCGAAGATAGTGCGGTCCTTAAGAGGCTATCAGTAAAATACAAGTTTTTTTCTTTGAACGCACTTGCTCAGCGGGACTTGCTGTTGTGTTTTTACTGCCAGACCATTGCATGTTCGTAAACGAATGCGACGATAAAAGAATAAAATATATATTTAAAAAAAGGCAATCGGTCAGCACGAAGCATGCGTCTCTCAATCGGCGATATACTATCAACTCCCCCCCCCCCCCGTGTAATATATTCACCAGCGTGTGGTTTGGTCTCATTTTAAAAAGCTTATTTTTGTTCATATTCATATTTTTTCAAGAACGTAATGCCAATATTAGTCGTTTGTGACAATCTTTATTTCAATAAGCAACATGATAANCGAAAGGCCACATTCATAACAGCTGACTAACTAGTCGATGGTTTAAATATGGTTGACCCACTTGAATGCTTGTTGTGTAAGGGAATCTATTCAGCGTCTATCAGGGGATTAGACAGCAAGCTTTTAAGTGGGCCATCATATTTGATCCTCATACCAGTTAGTTTTCTGTTGTGAACGCCACCAAAAGTGTGTTTCCCCTAATTGACTGACGTTTTAAATGCAATATAATTCAAACAATGTGCTTTGTACACTGTGGTGCCATGGACTTTGTCTATTAGTTATTTTCATAATCAATTTCATCATTGTAAGATGAGCCTAAGATCTGATGTTGGACAGCGAACATGGAAATCTGTTTCTACTGTTTTGTCATTGAGTGAGGGTAGAGCTTGCATTCTGATGTGGAACAGTCCAAATTGCATACTTGAGAGATAGTATTACAAATGTGTATATTATGGTATTAGGAACAAGAGTATGTGTGCCTTGTAAAAAACAGGGCAGCGATATGTCAGATTTACAATTGTTTCTGTGTATTGCAAAAGAAAGAAAAAAATGCTTCTTAATTGCCAAAACCAAACTTGCAACATTAAGTTGGAGAAAAGAAAGCTTATGTCACAATTGGGGGAAGGTGGGGGGGGGGATAACTTACTGTTTGGCAACTTTGAATGTTGAAGCTGCTGTTAATTACTGTGGAGTTTCATTGTTTTTTTAATGTTTTGCAATCTTGTGCATTGTTTGTGATCGTTCTGAACATTCCTGTTATTTATAAATCAAATATCACAGTAGAAGCAATGAGACGAGTTACACTTTCATTGGAGTTCATAGCTCATTGGAAGAAGATAAGACCCACCCCTAGAAAGTTGTTTGGTGAGTCTTACGTAGAAGTTAAATTTTGTATATTGAGTTTAAGTTAGTATTTTTTAAAATATTTTTAATCACAAATATGTAAGTATACAAGAATGGAATTTTATACAAATTATGTTTTACCTATGTCATGGGATTATATATTTTTATAAAGGGAAACAGATGTTCTATGTAATGCTCTTTGGTCTCAGATATACTGGAATTTCATACTTCTGGTTGATATCAGTGTTTTTTGCTTACATAATTCTTTACCATGTTGTTTTTTAGTTTTGATTTCAAACAAAGAATTCCACAGATGTATTCTTAATGTTTAAAGCTGATTATCTTATTTATTTATGAATTTATAACTATTTTATTTATAGAATTTTGATGTCTGTAAATGACAAATCTCAATGAAATAAAAATTGGAATCACTAATGTGGTTTAATTTGGAATTTCACAGCTCCAGTGAAGGTTTGCTACAGGCACCTGCAAACAGTTAAAGATTTAAGTGTTCAAACTTACTTTGAAATTTAAAATCTTAATTTTTTAGTTAGTCTAATCTTTAAATATTTTTAAAACACGATCTCTCTTGTAAAACATGAACTCTTTAATGCACAATTAAAATAAACTCAGAACAATTTTTATCAAATAAATATTAAATGACAAATTAAAACGATAGCATCCCTAACACTTCATCCTATGTAGTGATCTGACCTGGGAAAATTTACTTTCATTTCGCTTTCACTTTCTTCCAAAATATTCCTCATCCGATAAATCGGGTCTGCTGGACATTTTTGGCAGAGGTGCTGCCGCACTTTTTGGAGGTGCCCCTCCTGTGGCTGGGAGTGCCCCGTAACCAGTATAACGAGCTGCAGACGCCCTGTAATCAGAATCTTGTTGATTACGAGGTCTGTAACCCAACAAGCCTGACGGGCGGCTATATCCTTGCGCGCCATATTTGCCAAGTCCTTGACTTTTTGTGGCATCGTACCCGCCTGCAGTTCCGTAATACCCTTCGTTACCAGAGGTACCATACGTTCCTTGGGTACCATAGTTTGAATATCCTTGACCGGGAGAGGAACCGTAATTTCCTTGATAGCTGGTTGCACCATAATTTCCTTGACCACTCGGAGAACCGTATTTGTTTGAAGCATCTGAAGCACTGTAATAGCCGTTGCCACCTAGGTTATTATAATACCCGGAATTGCCCGAGTTGCCGTAGTATCCAGAATTGCCCAAAGAGCCGTAGTTTCCAGAATTGCCTAACGCGCCATAATTTGAATTTGTACCAGAGTTTCCATTGTATCCATATACTCCGGATTTTCCATAATATCCAGGAGCATTGTAATATGCCGCTGGTCCGGAATATGAGCCTGAAGACCCATATTTTCCTGCCGGATCTGAAGCGGTTGCTGCAGCAGCGGCGGCGGCAGCAGCAGCGGCGGTGCCTCTTCCGTACCCGCCATATGCTGATCCATATTGTGTTCCGCCAGCGCCGTACTGCGCCCCTTGGGCGCCAGCGTAATTCCCGTAATTTCCATAATTTCCCGCGCCTGCGTAATTAGCAAATTCTCCATTGATCCCCAAATACTTCACCAGTCTCTGGCAACCGAATTTCTCCAGATAGTTCACGATGACCAGACATTCTTTGATTTTTTGTATTCCCCACTGTGTACAAGAGATATGCCGTGGCGCGTTATGGTTCACACAGTAAGCGTGAAGCTGAAGAATGCAGGCCTCTTTACGTTGGTATTTCCAGTGTTTCCAACATCTCTGCCACAACACTTGAATGTTCTCGTCGTCCTTGAAGAGCGCTTCCTGCTGAGCCTTGGTCAGCACGGCCCCGGTGATCCCCTCGGCGACCCCGCCCTTGGCTCCGTTTGTGTTACCCTGCCCTGCTGCTGTAGCGCCGTACCCACCAGAGGGTCTAGGATAGCCCGCCCCGGGGTAGGAACCTGCTGGAGAGCCGTAAGATGGTGGGGCGGCCCCGGGGTGGTAGTATCCAGAATAACCTTGGGGAATTGGTTTTGGTGGGGGTGGTGGGTAGTACTGCCCATAAACGCCTTGGGGTGGAGCGTTGTTTCCCGAGGGAGGCGGAAGAGGGGGAGGGTACCCGGGTGGGCCTCCATAAGCCTGGCGACGATGGCGGCTGACCGAGAAAAGGTCTGAAAGAGATTGAAGTGGTTGCAGCAAGTTTTATAGTTATCGACTTTTTATCGACGTTGTCGGGCAGCCAAAGCCATTTTTGGACATTTTATTGGTAAAATTTAACATGACTATCGCCATTGAAAAAAAAATGATTGTAAATGAAAGAATAAACGGATAAAATGGTTCCAGTTGAATTCACGTATGACGAATAAACGCGTTAATCCACTGCGAACAAATTAAAGGGCGCTTAACACAACAATTAACTGAAAATAAACCATACAACATCAAAAGTTAGGCCTAATTCACTGCAAATAACAACTTAACATACGCTTACCTTCAGTATACACCAACTGTGGCTGTAACATCATAATATCTCGCTGAGAGCAGAAGTCAGACAGCTGATCGCCCAGGTCGTCCTCTCCAACGGTCACGTTCTCCGCCGTATATACCACGTCAAAGGCCGCTGTCGGGGTGGTAAGGGCGCCCTGCAATTTGAGAAATGCCCATGAAACCATCGTCAGGAGGATGCTTTTAATCTGTTAGAAGATTTTTGGTACGTTAAAAGACGATAACTATCGTGTTGGTAAGTACCTTATTTTATGAACGACAGTCATAATCTTTTAATGACAATGTTCATATAGTGGTGTATATAGGCTTTGGCAGATGGTCACGTGCTGAAAGGTTTAAATAGCGGTCAATGTTTCTATTTATCGGTAAAGTCTACTAAAATATTGAGCATAACCTAACGCCTAAAGTTCTGTTCCAACATCATATGTCAAAGGGATCAAAAACATAGATAGTGTCCAAATGTTTCTGAAACACTTTGAAAAACCAGCGGAAGGCGCTTTTTACCGAATTTGCTATTCGCCGTATATACAACCCTGTATGCGCATCCATAAAGGTACTGAGTATTATTATTATTATTATTATTATTATTATATCTAGTAGTCTACCTGTGACTGCGCCAGTGTGTCATCCACCAGGGACAGATTTCTCCCCGTGTGTACCTCCGCCAAGGTGAGATTCCGCAGGAAACACGTGGTGTCGTCACCAAACTTCATGGCCGACAGTCCCTGTAAGAGAGACACAAAGATCAAATACAGTCTTACTTCCACCGTGATAGTTTAAGTTCGTTAATGTCGGCATCTTCGTGACAGTGGCATATTTAGGCGCACTAACTGCACGTGAAAATTCTAATAATTATGAAGATTTGTATTTGAAATTAAGTCACTCGTCACAATCAATTCATTTTATGAAACTTTTCAGTTCAATACCAAACCTTGCGCCTATTATTTATTCAAAAGAGGAGTGACGGTCCACACAGATAGCTAATTTATTCCAACGTGAGCAAAAAGTACAAAGTATTTATACAAAACCCAGAATACGCTAAATATATATACAATTAGCGTGACAAAAACAAATTCATAATTATACTACATCTCTCATTCCTGCACGACCTACTCCATACTCGAGGCGATAACATCTATTTCACACAAAAATTCTCGCTATATTTTAATACATAGAGAAAGGTGTACAGCATCATATAGCCAGAGACATAGCTAATGAAAAATCAACCTGATGTCCTAGTAAAGACACGCACGACTTACGATTTTATAATCCAACATAAAGTAAAACTCTGGCGTTCCATTGTGTGAGGGACTGTGAAAGACCTCGATCTGTCTGTGAGCGTCCAGTTGAATCTCTTCTTCCAGGACACTAACGTTGTCCCTGAAATACACCACGTACTCCTGGAGATAGGAAAAAATATGTTTGAAATTGTCTTCAACGGCGTAATAACAAAATAACAGGAATGTTATTTTATATTATTATATTTTTTATTTATTTCGGTTACAATAACATTTAAAAATCTATATTAAGTTTGGTAGAGCTTAAACCGTGTGGTCTGGGTGCGTTATAAGTCATAGGCTACTGAGTATAGAAGCTCTATCATTGTTGCAGGTTGTTACATAATATGCAATCATTTTGATAGTAGGCCTACTACGGCATGTACCTATTATCTCGAAATTGTAAAAAAGAAATATAAACATTCGACACAAAATACATTAAGGTTTCAATTAACTTACTTTAAATCTACGCCTAGGATAAACGAGTCCATAATACGTTGCTAGGGCTGTTCCAATAATTACCATGGCGACGAAGATGACGAAACATGCTGCTGACGTCACGTATCGTTTCCTGGTACATATGAGCAGGCTGTTTCCCTGTTCGTGTTAAGAAATATTTACAAAGTAGGGCCTAAGTGTCACCTAATAGGATAGTCGTGACCGCATCTAGAGATATCATATCTCAAATTTCCTCGCTCACTTAAATTATACAAGAATTAAAGATTGAATTAAAGTGCTGGTATGTCGGTGAACCGACATGAAACCTAAAATATTATTTAGTCTGGGCGTGTATATATATATTGTCTTTCCATTAAAAACTGTAATATCTAATGTGCTGAGACAGTTTGGCATAACCAAATATGTCTTGAGGTTTTAATATCGTATCACTTTTCGACAGCAATAATTTTCTTCAACTACGCATTTTTCATATTTTATCATAGGGGCCTACCCCACGTCGGGACGCCTACCTCGTTTGAATTCTTGCTATCCTGATTGTTTCTTTTGTGTGCGTCTTTTGTATTGCTTTCTTCATTCTTTTTGCAGTTGTCTTCGACATTTTCTGATTTTTGTTTGTCAGTTTTGTAATCATTGTTGTTGGTCGTTTCGTTCACCTCGTCTTTTACCTTGCCCTTCATTGTGAAGAACTTTTGGAGCACTGGTCTTCCTTTAAGGTTAAAGGGTGAACTGAGAATTTTCTCAAGTTGCTTGTAATCTCTTCATGTCTGACCACCTTTCTCCTGAAAATGTTAAATATAATATTAATTATTTTTCATTGAAAGTTTTAAAAAAGGCTGAGAAGTTGTCACAAGCATGAAAGGCCCTAGCAACCTATGAGCGAAACTCTACCATAACTCAAAATCAAATTCTGAGGAAAAGAGTAGCATCAGCAACTGCAGCCTCTGTTCTTTAAATATGGGCGTGAAACATATTTGACTTCAAACAAATTAAATATACTGACCGGCACCCAATCAGCTGTATTTCTTGAACAGTTTGGAAAATCCTAAAAAATTTGTTGAGGTTTGCTCGATAAAAATGTAACCAGTATGCCTATATGCCAAAGGTTATATAGCGCTCATAACGTTTACGTCAGGTACAAATGTATATTAAGATGGCGATGATAGAAATCTCCTCTCTCTTTACACAACCATTACCACTAAATGATATACAAATCTTGATCTGAGTAAGCTACATGTATTATTATCTCAGATGTGAGGGAAAGTGACACAATTTGCATAATTGCTGTGACGGTCATAGAGCTGTTCACCCGAGGAGGAATTAATAACCTCAATATTAATGAACAAGCAGGTTAGAATGTAGTCCAAATAGTGCAAACTATCTCGGAATCAGCAAACACATTTTAAACCGGCTCAGATGCAATCTAGAAGAACATTGTGTGATCGAGCCTGGCGCCGGCAGCGACGATGAATCACAACGAGGAAATACATCGGAATAAATATCACTTTGCTCTTCCAGATAAATTTTAAAACAGGTTTTATCTGGAATTGTCGCATAAAAATACAAAACCATGCTCCATAATTGGTTTATTATGACAAATGAAAGTTAAATCTAAAAAAAGTCACACGTCTGTTTAATGGCTACATTGTATTAAATAAATTTAGAAGCCTGCAAAGATATTAATTTTCCTTATATCCTTTAATGTGTATAAATAATGTAACCAATCAAAATATCAATTTATATTAGATATATTTAAATATATTCCAACCTGTTTAGAAGTAACGTGCAAAAATATAATAAAAATAACAATAAAATTACCTGTCCAGTTTTAAATGTATATTTTTGTGGATGAAATGCGCAAAAACAGTAGGCATATTATGTAAGTTTTTATAACGATAACTATAACGGCAATTTTCACATTTCATTAAAATCAATTGATTTACGTGCTTCAGAAATGTTTTAGTTACAGCTAGCACTTGTGCAAAGGCGCAGCTATCGTAAAACATGAAACTCGATCAACATTTTAGATGCCACGTTTAAAATTATTTTACAGGTCTAGTTAAACACTTAACATCAAAGACCAGGAGCACAGCAAGGAGAAAAATAAGTTTAGGCTGAAAACAGACGCTTTAAAGAGAGTCACAGAAGTCATCAACGTACTCACCTTCTCTCCCAGAAGCTAGTTCTTAGTGAAATGCATAAATGACGTTGGAAATAAGGCCGCTTTGCGGTGCGTATAATTGCAGTAATTACCCAAACCACGATCCCGGGACGATGAGAATGTCTGATAGCTATCCTGGGTCCTGTTTATATGTGTGTGGTTGGACAAGCCGCAGAATTACTGAATGTATCGTAGATAGTGCGGTCTTTACGAGGCTATCAGTAAAATACAAGTTTTTTTTTTCTTTGAACGCACTTGCTCAGCGGAACTAACTGTTGTGTTTTTACTGCCAGACCATTGCATGTTTGTAAACGAATGAGTCGATAAAAGAACGAAATAAATATTTAAAAAATGCAATCGGTGAGCACGAAGCATGCGTCCCTCAACCGGCGACAAACTATCAACTAACTATGAAATGCCATACCCCCCCCCCCTCGTGTAATATATTCATTAGGGTGTGGTTTTGGTCTTACTTCAAAGCTTGTTATTGTTCACATTTATCTTTTCAAGAGCTTATCACTGCTCAAAAGTTATATTTTCAAGAATGTATTGCCAATATTAGTCGTTTGTGACAATCTTTATTTCAATAAGCAACATGGTAAAAAAAACTGTTTCAGTCATGGAGTGACTTTTTATTAGAAAACTGAAACGTAAGCACTGCAAGTACATACTACATCAATAGTCAAAGCTGCTCTATTCCGTTTTCCCCCGATTTCAAAGCAAGGCAGCTGAAGCTGACAAGTGTTCAGACACGAATCAGCATTTAAACAGTGCATATAACGAGCTCAGTTTAATTGTAGTAGTTTTGAAGTTTTGAATTTACAATTCAAGTAGCTGAATATTTCGTCTGCAAGTTATTTTTTTAAAGCTACACTTTCCAGAATTATTTCTTTTCATTTTTCCACATTTGGTCGTCATAACATACTAGTAAGCTCCTTCATGTGAATATAGTTGTTCATAACAAACATTGTTGTTTAAATTAATTTCATCCATAACAACTTATCTTCTTATGGTTCTAAACTATTAACCTTAGGCCTGGCCTTACTCCAATTGTAATATTTAAAAAAGTAATTATTTAAAATTTGATAATCAACAGCAGCTATCAGGACTTGGCACTTCTTTGTTTCTTCCTTAGCAACATATTCTCTAGAAATTCTGTGTAGACTTTTTTGTGTGGTCCTGAGGCTGGTATGAAGTGACCACCAGGATGTTCCAGAGTCCTGGGCTCCACAAAATACTGCAGCAAATCTTCACTCATATCTGCAGAAAAAATAATTACAGTATATTAAGGGCATTTTAAATGCACAAAAAATTGAATAAAATAAAATTAATTTTCAAAATAAATAAAGATAACTGCATTACATGTTTTCTTTCACTTGATTCCTTCAAAATCTTTTTTTTAAGACAGTCTCCACTATAACTTTGTAAGTCCAGTAAAATAACTCAAAGAAAAATACACAGAATAAATGGGTGGAAGACCAAGCTACTAGACAGAAAAAAATTTAAAAGCAGAGATAAAATGAATATCAGATAAAAAATGCCTACCTTTAGGAATGACCTTGTCAGTATCCCCAAACACGTGAAGGGAGGGACAGGTTATTGGGATCTTGTAGATTTCCTCGTGTGGTTTTGAATGACTTTTAAATCCTGCCACCAACATCACAAAGTCAAACTTGAATGGACAAGCTGGAAGATATAGGAAAAAAACTAGAGAGCAGTCCTAAGAGTAAATATGATGTAAATGATATCAGAACAATTCATGTTTAATCTCTCAATATTAGAAGACACCCATTTAGTTTAAATAGTTTTTCTTTTTTTTCCCCTCAAGAACAATCTCCCCTGAAAATTTCATTAAAATTTGAGAAAAACCTTTTGAGATATCGTGTCCACAAATAAACAATCCTGACATAAATCTAACTCTCTTTGTATTCTTGGGTTTGTAGGTAAAAAGTTGTCTCTCACAGTGCAATACCAGAATTTGAAGAAGAATGGTAAAAATTTTCAGTAATCTCCTAATTCTCTTATCCTATGCATTACACCAATAATTAATTTATACTGAGTGTGTTTAGAGGAGAAATTGAAGACCTTCCAAACTTCTTGCCTGGGACAGCAAGTTCTAGGGCAGCGCATTGTGGACATATTTTCACCTCTGTTCACTAAATCATACTGCTGCTGCTGCTGATGATGATGATGCTGATAAAGATGATGACACCTCTAATTTCCTACCTTCTTCATCTTTTTCTCTCAGTCCACACATCAAGGCCACCAGTGCTGCCCCCTGGCTGAACCCCAGAACACCATCAAATGGACCCTGAAATATGTCATGACATTAGTAATTTAAAAACTTTTAGTCTACTTCAGGATAAACCTGCAGTTCACCATATTTGATACATTATGTATTTCTTAATTTTTAAAGTGGGCAAAATGTTTCATTTAAACATATTTTTTTGAAAATGTCAGTCTATTTTGACATAAGAAAACCAGTAGTAGACCACTTAAATGAAATTGTTGGCCTGCTTCATTATAAGAAAGACATGGTCTTTTTGGATGGAAACTTACTTCAAGTAGTTATAAATACCTGTATGAACTGGAAAGAAATGTGTAAAAAATGTAAGGTGCTTTAAAATTGAGAGGAAACACCGTACATTGTACATATTACCTGCTCCTGGAAAGCCTGCTGTATTGTCTGTAGTGACTGGTCAAATCCTTTACAACAGTCAGTGTCATCCTGGGCTCTGAAGTAGTCATCCTCTCTGGAGAACCACCAACCCCTCTGGTCCACTGAAAGAAAGAAAGAAAGAAATCGGACATATTATCCATTAATCCAACAATCAAATAGATAAATGAGTCAGACATTTAATCAATCAGTGGATTGATAAATTGATCAACCTCTTCATCCAGTAATCACCAAGTCAATAAATAAATAAATAAAATTAGTAAATAAAAAAGGCTCCATAAATTTTGGAAAACAAAGACCATAAGCATGACAGAAGAAAATTAAATTAATTCAATCTGACAACACTGAAAATCACTTAAATTACACGATTAATTTGGAATTAAACATAATCCTCCTTCCTCCTTGAGCAGAATAGCAGCAGCAGCAACATGTTTAGACCAGAGTTGTTTTTGTCTCATTATTGTGAGGATCTCACTTGTTTGCAGACCAGTATCATTTATGATGATGCCAAAATTATACAACACTCAACTGATTTCATTTAAGGCTCAGACTATAAAGCACAGTAAGGCCTTCTTGAGGCAAACACATTATTGTGAATCTACCAAGAAAGTTATAGCTACCTGTATCTCCATCTGCTGCATCCTCTAAGGGAGGAACTGAGTTTGGAGCATCAATAAATACTGGAAATAAGAATGAAATCGATGTTTAGACTTTATGTATTAAAATATGCCTTTCCATTAAAAAAAAACAACAACATCATTTCACTTGTTTGATTGCTAGACATTCATGAGTATTTCATTCTTAGTTATTTATTGTTAAGGAAAACGTCATCCAGAGATTTCAAAATGGGGGTGGAGGGGATAGTCCTCTCTGATCACATGGTCTGCTAGTATAGTCAGTTACAAAAACTGTATTGGGCCCTGTGGAAACTGAGGTGATGTCAATAGGAATGAATCCCTCGCCTAACTCCATGTACCCTTTGTCCTCCATGATTGCAGAGGGTAATGCATTTCAAAAGGGGAGGAGGGATATATACTCCCCAGAGGGGCAGTCTAACTGGGGAAGCAGGTCCAGAGATGAAAGTCAGATGCACTGTAGATCACACTTCAATTCACATACCTAACTCAGCATACTTTTTAGTTATTTTCCTAAAGGCCCCAGTCCTTTCCCTAAAGGCCTGACCATTCTGACGATATCCATGTATACAAAGAATCTGAAAACGCCAAAAAACAAGTTCAAGGTTTGATTATTCTCTTTCTGTGTAGTGATTTATATTTTCTCTCTCGCACTCATTCAAAAAAGAAAGTATACTATGATAAAATTAAGACACAGATCAAAACAGTTCGGGAAAAATAAAGAATGGCATAAAGTAGTATGTAGTCTAAATTTTTAACTAACAACTCACAGATCTGAAGAATGCATAAACGGGAAAATAATCGAAAGATCTAAGCAAAAACTACATACTTTCAATGTCTCTTTCGAGTCTTGGGCCATACTTTTCTTTCCAAGGGAAATCCGAACCTCGTTATCGCCTTGGTTGTTTTCACTCCTTCTTCCCCAAAAGAGCACAATCATTCGAAGGTAGTGCGCGTGAGTGGCATTGTTGAAAATCGTTCTTGTTAGTTGTGATTTCTCCCGTTTGGGTAAGTCTTAATCATGGGGGTTTCTGTAAGATAATTACGTACCATTTGATCATAAATTTATATATATTTGGGTGTATATGAAGTTGCAACGAACGCACAGGTAGCTGAATTCTTTGAACAAAATTCAGGGCGATTTTAATTGTTTTCGGATTTTGCATATTATTCAGTAACTGAATTCAAAATAAGCATTGCAGATAGTGGTTGTAGAGGTGAGGCAATATTGTTTGCCTATAAATATGTTAAGTAGACATTTAATTACTTTAATAGGTCAAGTAATATTCGTTTGATCCCGCTAGGTGTTTGTGAAAAAATACATTTTAGATAAAAATAATTAATTTTTAATTAAGAGTTATAAAGTTGACTAATGAATCAGTATCCAAAGTCAAAAAAGCACAAAGTTAGTTGCGGACAGGAACTATGTCAGAATGCAATATATACATATTAAATCCACCATGGTCGATTGCATTTATATGCACTAGCCCTTTCTAGATAAATATAGGCTATCCAAACAAATAGCTGGTTTAGTGTTTAAATGGGCGAAATGATTTCTGATACTTGTGTCAACAACATGAGGTTTGTCATGCCTTTCTTATGGAAAAGCCTGCCTCACGGTTATATAGCATGCTGAATATTAAAATCATTTGTACTCTGTGACTTGTGGCTGGGTGAGTAGGTGATCGGGTCTTTATTGTGGCAGAGAGTGATTTAAAATAAGATATATTTGACAAGCAAGAATGAAATTTTTCTCACTTTAAAAAAAAAAAAATTAGAGATATGCATCTGTCAGTTAAGCTTGCAAGTTCATTATGTACCGTATGATATTTTGAAACTTTATAAGTATTGTTTTGAATGTTGATTGTGCATGTTTGTATAGCCAGTTGTTTCCAGAGGGAGGAGGGATCTTTTTTCCACCAATATCAACCCAATTTGAAAAATTAAATAGTATCTCAAGAGAACAAATTTTGATTCAGAGCTGGCATTTCCTAGCCAAATTAGTAGGGAGGTTCATCAAACATAGGACCCATGTTCAAACCTTTATCCCCCTGCAAGGGGGGTGGGGATAGGGAGCAGAGCATCAGCTTGATTTTTACGTTCTTACTAGTATGCTCATCTTCAAATATCTGTATATATGAAATAAAGCTGTGAAAGTCTTTCTCAATCAAAAGGTAAGTTTCAGCATGTAGGCATCAAGTCTCTGAACATGTGATCGAAAATGATATTCTCATTTTAGTTTTTAGAGTGCTTGTTACTCAAAATGCCTCAACTTGAAGTTGGCTTGCATTTTTAATCTTCCTTTCTTCTGCAAATCTGTAAGAAATATTCATCTGTGGATTATCATACACACGGAGAGAGAGAGAGAGAGAGGGAGGGAGGGGGTCCCGGAGAGAGAGAGTGAGGGGGAGGGGGTAAAACATGCTGTATCACTGTACAGATAATTCCAAATCAATTCTGATGTGTAGTGCAACTGGTTCTGTATTCAGGAATTAAAACTGGTATTTCTATCACAAGGCTTGACCCAACCAATTGTTAAAGGGAAACGGGAGCAAACATTTCAAAAAACAAAACAAACAATTCAAATTCTTATGCAATGGCATGTTTACCTTCTGTTTTAAAATCTCACCTTACTTAAATTAAAGATCAAATATCAGTAAAGTGGATTTGCATGCACTAAGGCCTTTTCAAATGATTTTTAAGGTTGAGGCTTGCACAAGCTTATTTAAGTCTGGGCCAAGTGCTAAAGATTTTTCCTCAGGGTTAATAGATGAAAACCAAGCAGAAACAAACCAAAAATGCAAAGAAAAAATGAAATGAAAATGTGAATAGAATAGCAAAAAATCTTCATTTGTCAAAGATGTTATAGTATTATTGTTTTGATAATAAAATTGCTTATCTGTAGGGATACAGTTATGCAGTCTTGTTGAAGAGGAACTAACTGATAACAATTTTACATCTTGATAGCAATTAATATTGATTTCATATTGTTATTTTCAGAAATATCTCCTGGATAACAAATTAAGATCAAATCCTATGAACAGAGAAGATTTTATGCATTAATTTGAGGAAATAATGAAGGATAAAAATCCTAAGAAAAAACCAGATAAATCAGAGAAAGCCAAAAAAGATGTCGGCAGCAAAGACAGTGGTGCTGGAAGTAGTAGCGTTGAGGGTGGATTTCTCTCCAGGCTGTTTGGTAGTAAGAAGTCCAAGGATAAAGGTAAGAACTAAGATGAGTTGGTTTTATCTCTTGCAATAATATAGGTAGAACTAGAAGGAAGTTTGCAATCATTTGTCTCAAGTTTAAATTGATTTGGTGAGGATGAGTGAGAAAAACCAGGCCAAGAACAAACATGCAGTTACCTGTGGAGACGGCTCAGAGAGAGGTTTCTCTATCACAGAGCGACATATGGCCCTGGTTTGATTGATTGATTGATTGAGGAAATAGAAGAGATGTGGAAAAGAGAGGTGCATGGTTATTTTTTAGTACCTAATGCAATGAATGCACACAGCATTATAATTAATTTTCCTCAAAATGTCAATTCTTTTTCCATTGAGCTTCTTATGGTATGTACCACATACAAGACTTTTCACAGAATTAGAACCATGCTCAAGTATGTAGTTTTTGAGTCACTTGTGTAGTAAAGATAGATACCGATCATGGCAATGAATATCTGTTGAGGATTTTTTTCCCCTGTGTACAGGTCTAATGCTGATTGTGTGCCAGCAACATAAAGTACAGTACATCTAACACAATAATTTGAATGTTTTTCATTGGATGGAGACTGTGACTGTTCATACTTTCTACCACGTGCCACTTTAGTGACTGCGTCTTATTTGCAAAGTTTCTCATTCTTGCAGTACTTACAGAATGTGCACAGAATTAGCCAAAGAATTTGCATGTGATTATATAGCGTAAAAAACTCTGGTTCTGTGAGAGGGTAGTACGTACCCAGATGTTAGCCTTCTACATCTCTGTGGTCAACACACCAGAGCTTCAGATCAGAGGCGTGCCAGCTTCTTCCTTTCTGAATCCCCACATCAGCAAGGCAGTGTTGTTTCAAATTCTCTTAAAACTGAAACTTGAAAATGGGGAAGCTGATACACAACTAGTCTACAATTCCAACATAGCTTACTACTAACTGATGTTTAGGAAGTTAAAAATAAAAACATTGGTTAATAGTATGTAATATAACAAAGTGGTGGACTTCTTATTAAAACAAGTGACCGCTGGCTTGCACAATTTGATAGTGTATCAGTGAAGGAAGTATAACTACTACAATAACATCCTCTGGTATACCAGTGGGTAGAGCTGTGTTAAGCAGGTGTTTTGCTAATTTCTACCACTAAAACCCTGCTGTGAACACTGCTGTTTCTTAAATATAGATTCTCTGTATGGACATACACACAGCAGTGGTCACTTAACCTCTGACCACTCTGCTCTTTGAAAGGTTCTGAAATAAGTTACCCAAGTAGTGGTCAAGATTTTTTGGCCCCATTCACAACAGAGTTGATCTGCGGACTAACAGCTCTGCAGATCAAAAATGGCCAACCCTCCTTAAAGTTTATTGCATAATCCCTTCAGGGAATCTATTTGGTGTCTGTTATGGGATTATGTAACAAGCTTTCAGATGGGTTGGCCATATTTGATCCATAGATCTGTTAGTGCGTAGATCAATTCTGTTGTAAATGCTCTCTTTAGCCTTATTCAGGATAGGGGACTAGTTAGTCCGAGGGTCAAATATGGCCGACCTACTTGAATACTTCTCCACGGGATATCTATTCAGTGTCTATTAGCAGATTAGATGGCGAGCTTTGTAGTGGGTCTCTGTGACCCCATTCCCATAGATTTTAGATCGATCTATCCCTGTAGGGAGTCTCACTAGATTACTATCAGCTTAGCCGGCTTAAGCGTCTGTCCCGCCTGCTAAAAGCTGTAAGGGGGTAATTAACTATGATGCGCGCTCGGCTGACTGAAATTTAGCGTGAACCCCCAGGGAGTTAGGTCTATCTAAATCTCTGGATCGATCTAAATCTCTGGGAATGCACCCTATGTTTGACCCTTGGACTAGTTAGTCCTCTATTCTGAATGCTCTCTTTGGTCAGTGGATGACTGTGGTCTAGCAATGGAAGTTAGACCACGGTGGAAGTAAAGAACAAAAGACCTAGACATGGTGTAACTCGCATAACCGCGCGTTTCGCGTGAATGCGTCAAAACCCGCTAATTGGACCCGTGGTCTAATTAAGATAGATCCCTCGTCAGCGAGGGTTATTATCCTTAGATATTCATTTTCTTTGCCTTATAAAAAAATTCACTGACTTTTTGTACAAGAAAGCTACATTACGAAAATGTTTTTGCTTGCTTTCTTTGATGTAGAATATAATGATAATAGCAATTCCAAAAACTGATATATTTCATTGTCATGTATCTTTAAAGTTGGTATAGTAAAGTTAGCAAGTATTATCTGTGTTTTTTTGTCTTTTTTAAAAAAATTTCTTTCCTGCATGTAGCCACTTTTTGTCATGCCAAGAACCAGTAAACAAATAGTCCATGTTTATGTTTAAGATATTTCGTCCAAAAATTATTCTCAAGCCTGCCAAAGTATTTTTTTTGTAAATTCTAATTACAAACATGCAGAAAAAACTTCCAAGAAGTAAATAGGAAAAAAAAAAAAAAAAAAGATTGACACTGCAGTTTGGTGAGAAAAATGTGGGATGTCCATGGGGAACATGTGGGACTTGTTTTGCTTTAGATCTAGATGAAGTGTGTAACATCAGTGTTGTATGTGAACCCTGAAGGTCTTAGATGTGTTTTCACTTTTGATAAAAATCCCAAGACACTGCGCTAGTGTACTGGTGGCTGCATCAGGCAGAAGGGAGGTCTGTTTCTAG